CATAAGTACATATGTATGTAGAAAAAAAAATATTGGCACATGCCGCTGTTAACCCAAACCCACACAAATTACAACGAATTATCCCTCAAACAATTATAACGTTAATTCGTTAATTTTACCCTAATTGTTTGTATGTATGATATACAGTTTTTCATACTCAATACATGCAGAAATCTAATTTTTTAATTGTCCATTAAAATAAAATACAACAAAAACTAAAGCATCCATTTAACCGCTGCCCAATTTACCCATTACGTAGCCAAATTACTTGAATTATTGTGGGCATAACATGCAAACATTTTAATTACTATAACTGAATTATGAAACTTGAACAACCATCCTTTTGTTCACTACTCGCCACTGACAGTTGACTGCCGGTTTTTTGGTTGTCCGTTGTGAAATGTGACGTCAATACAACAAATATATTAAAGAAAAAAAAAATTACTGTAAATTTTTATGCCTTGAGTGGAAACATTTTTTTCATGTAAAACGTAAAACAAGTGTCAGACCCATTAACGAGCATATGAACATGCATTTTCCAGCTAATTGGTTTATTGTTTACGTCTGGCGACTCGTAGTTGTTGATATAGAAATGTGTGTGTGTTTTAATGGAAATTATGTTATATTATATTTTTTATTATTTACTATATTTTTACAAAATTTGCCATAAAATTATAAAATAAAAGTTGTTAGTGTTTTTTTTTTCACCAAAAAATAGTTTAATGTTTCGACGATCAAAAAGTTTTTGTTTCCCTTTACCGCACTTAAACTTTGCCGACCGCTTTTTTGCTGCCTTTCTGCCATGAGCTCCGCAAAAGTTAGCCAGCCTCTAAGGTCTATTATTTCAGCTAAAATAGTTCAGCAAAGGCTTTGGCGCCACGCTATCTTTCTAAGTGATCTCATAACAACGCTGTTAAATACCTCACTTATTTCTGCCAGATGTTTACTTTCCTATAAACTGCTATGCACGCATAAAGCTCTAGTACTGGCGTTGGCAGTACATACATATACAGCTATGCGCTGCAATTTGGAGCAATAGCAATTTTGTCTCTGCATAAATAGAAAATAATAAAAATAAAATAGAAATTGATGCTTTCGCTCATGAAAATAAATGGAAAAAAATATATATCAATTTAAATTGGCGGCTTGACAGATGGAAACTTATCGACAACATAACAGCACATGCGGAAGTTTGCTCAATGTAAATGAAGGCAAAAACGAACAATTGGCTAAACAAACAATGAAAACCGTTAATTTCAGCTGCAACGAAGCTATAATACTCTTTACAGGTTGTAGCGCTGCATGTGACTACAAACTATGCCAAATTTTGTGTAAATATCTTGTCAATAAAAAAGTGTTCCATACAAAAGCTTCATTTTGATAGTTCAGTTTGTATGACAAGTATATAGTCGTCTGATCTGAGCAATTTCTACGGAGATTGCAGATTTATCTAGGATAACAATTAGTGCCACATTTTGTGAAGTTATCTCCCCAAATAAAAAAGTTTTCCATACAAGAACTTGATTTTGATCGTTAAGTTTGTATGGCAGTTCTATGTTAGACTAATCCGATTTGAACAATTTCTTCGGAGATTGTAGTAATATCTAAGATAAAAATCCGTGCCAAATTTTGTGAAGTTATCTCGCCAAATAAAAAAATTTTCCATACAAGAACTTGATTTTGATCGTTAAATTTGTATGGCAGTTCTATGTTAGACTAATCCGATTTGAACAATTTCTTCGGAGATTGTAGTAATATCTAAGAAAAAAATCCGTGCCAAATTTTGTTAAGCTATCTCGTCAAATAAAAAAATTTTCCATACAAGAACTTTATTTTGATCTTTAAGTTTGTATGGCAGTTCTATGCTATACTAATCCGATTTGAACAATTTCTTCGGAGATTGTAGTAATCTCTAAGATAAAAATCTGTGCCAAATTTTGTTAAGCTATCTTGTCAAATAAAAAAATTTTTCCCCCATGGATCGGCTCCTGCTTCCACTTAACATCCTTAAAATTTATAAAACGGCAGCCGACCGCGAGTAATATCGTACAGTGTGCACTTGGTGTAAGCTTTCGATTACTGTACTGAAAATTTCGACATGAATAGACATAAATATCAAATATTTAATAACCACAAATCAGATCCATACATTGTGGAGCGCTCCATTTTTATGAAGGGTTATTAAAACAGCAATTTTGACAGTTGCACAAGTACAACAACACAGTTGCATGATGTGTACACATGTATTTTGGGGCAAAAAGTGAGTGGAGAATGTGTCAAAGCAAGTTGGTTGGCTGGATTATAATGACAACACAATAAAACACTTATAAAGATAGTGCGCAAATCTGGACCACTGCCAATAGATGAATGGTTACGGCGCGCTTTTGCAACGTTGCTAACTTAAAGAGCAGGAAAGCTATAAAAATGATAGTAAAACTTAAACCATGCTAGTTTAATTGGTGCATTGTTATTTTATTACAGAGTTGTCAACTTTTTTTTATACTTTTCAAGAAATAATTAAACTAAATTTAAAAAAATTAGTACTAAAAATCAAAAAGA